AGTATGAAGAGTTACTGTACTATAACATTATCATCAAGAACATAGAGGTCAGACTATTAAACAGGAACTCAACATATGCTGGAAAGTGATGCATTAGTATCTACATATATTATTGTATTTAACCTGGCTTATTTTTGCAATTGAAATTCTCATTTACCTCTGTCTTTGAACACTGTAAACATACCAGTTGTATTCGCAAGATAAACGTGAAGAGAATTTATAAGTATTGTTATGTTTTTGAAAGTGTTCACCAAAGTTCATATGCTATGATCCCTGATAAAACACTGTTGAGGATTAGGGAATAATAATAATAATAATAATAAATGGATTATTATTACTGTGCAGTAGGTCTGTTCCTGAAAGACTAAGTTTATTATGAAAGTGAGTTGAGCTTCCTCCTCTTTTCTCTTCCCCTCTTTTTGGTTGTAGGATATCGAAGTACAAAGGCTCTTGTCCAATATGAACCTCTCCCCTCCCAATGTCGGACTTAGAGCCTCTAGAACTGTACAAACGAACTACTATTTTATAAATTGCCCAGATTCTCCCATCATGGCAGCACAGAGGAAACTAAAATATCCATATGAACATAGCAACATAATTATAAAAGAATCAAACTTATAGAAATCTAGTTTCCGGTTAAATAAAATGAACAAATTTGTTAATGTTTGAAATTTAAAAAAAAAACCTGACTGGGAAAATAATAAGTTCCATGATCCTGAAAGACTTCATATCAGGGAAATTTGTATAACAAATTGACTCATCCAATATGAGACTTGGACTAGTGATTTTCAAAGATTCTTCACAATTCCAAATACAAGCACATTGGAAATTAGATTTAAATATCCAAATTCTGAGATGAAATAGTCTATAGTGTCATAAAATTTTACTGATTCCTGTTAACTTGATATCTATGTTCAAGATTTCTGGTTGACATTTCTATATAAATGTTTGCCAAAGTTAATCAATAAAATAGATTTTAGTGTGTGTGTGGCTAGATACTCCCCCCCACACACACACACTCTCCCTCCTCTCTCTCTCTCTCTTTCTCTCTCTCTCTCTTTCTCTCTCTGTCTCTCTCTC